CCTAAGGAATGCCGCGCTTTATTTGAGGAGTGAGGCTATCTATACTTGCAGATTTCTGAACATGGGAAATTCCTTTTAAATACTTGAATTATACAAGTGTAATCGACATACAATTCACCAATTCTATGCGAACTTTACGCCTCAGACATGTAATTGCTGGGGAATTTTTCAAAACTACATACAATTCACCAATTCTCACTTCAAACATCACTATCACCTTCTCCTATTGTCACCATTATTCAGATTCATCTCACAAACACATTATTATCTCTCTCCTATTCTGCATCACCTAATCTCAAAAGGTTCGATCCTGCCCTCACCGATTTTTTTCTTCTGTGCTCTCACACACATACATATGGATGTGTTTTGATCCAATGGTAATAAACGAATTTAGCCGCTCGAGCACCTATAATCATTCTCATCCTCAAAAATTACTCATTTTTTTATTTTTGGAACCATTTTTTTTTTTCAACATTTTACTTTTCCAAACTTCAATGCAAATCAACCAGCCCAAAAAAATATAAGGCCAACACAACTGCAAATTTACCTTATCACTGAAACCAAACATGACAGAGGACCCAACATCGAACTTGAATCCATCCCTCTCATAAAACCCAGAACTCCCACCAGGAATTACATACTTCTCAAGAACCAAAACCCTCGCGCCCTTCACCGCCAGCTGGGTCGCCGCCACCAGCCCACCAATACCAGAGCCTACAACAATCGCATCATAGTAGCCGCCGCTGCTACTTCCGTAGCCGCCCTCAGCCCCCACCGCCTTTTCGAGCTCGACGGCTGATTTTACAGTAAAAAGATTGCTCCTTTTCCTGCTGTGCTCGGCCCTGCTGACCCCAAAAGCTCGAGCGCTCAGAGGGTCAAAAGAGTAAATTCGAGGGCACCGGCTTGTGGGTTCTTGTTTGCTCGGAGGTTTTGTGGGAATCGACGGCGGAGATGAAAGCCCAAAACTCAGGGTACTCATTTGTGTGTGTGTGTGTGTGTGTGTGTGTGTGTGTGTGTGTGTGAGAGAGAGAGAGAGAGAGAGAGATTGCTAGCAAAAAATCAAACTGAGGCTTGAGATGCACAAAGCATTTGAGTTGTGGGATTACTGAAAAATTTCGAATCTTGAGGGAAAATAGGAAGTCTTGAATGTGGTGATTTTTAACTGAACCTGTAATCAGGGGCAGAAAAAAAATAGCAGGTTTTTGGAGGAGAAGCTGAAAATCACAAAAGTTGAGAAGAGAGTCAACGGATTATAGTGTTGGTTTGTTCATTGTTTGTGATTCCACATCTCTCTCTTATATATTAATTCAAAACGTATCGAGCCTAGGTGGTAGATTCTCACGTTATGTTGACATGACGAAAATTTATGCTTCATGATATTATTTTTATCAAATTCATTTGTTTTTCATTAACCAAAATTTTTTGTTCTGGACTTAAGTTTAGTATTAAACATAAATAAATTTACACATATATTTATTCACTCAACACTCGTACATGGTTGGGTTAGTACTGGTATGTATGTTAATTAAAGACAATTTTTTTTGCAGTATTTTATGAGCATTATTTTAGGGGAAGTGTATAGTTTTTTTATTATTTTAATGGTGTTGTAGCAGGACTTGCAGCGATAACTTTGTGCCCAATTTAATTTATGATTATGGAGAACGTGGTTTCATTAATAAATATATCGATTAAGAGATACATTCACTTAGAGTACATTATTTTTTATTTGATTTCAAGGACCAATGAATTTTTTTTTTTCGAGACGATAGAATTTATAACTATATAACTGAATAAAACAATACAACGGAGGCTAAGGTTTAACTGCCTAATTGAAAATCAGCAAGCATTTGCCAACACTATTGCACGGGTAATTGACTAATTACATACTGTTATTATTTTAAAGTTTTTACTACTAATAATAAATTAAATAATAAAAACGTAAATTATCTCTCAAAATCTCCATATATGTGTATAACATCATAAATATTAACCACTAAAAGATATGAATTTACAAAAATAAAATTTATTCTAAAAGCAAAATATATATTTTAGTTAAAAAAATACGGGTCGACAAAATTAATCGTATGAACCGATACTTAGCCAGTTCAATAACCAATCGACTTGTCGAATAAGTCAATAGCTACCTGCCTACCCAAATGTCAAATCGGCCCGAGTTTGGATCTAAGTCGACCAATCGGGCCGGGTCTATATCCATTGATTCTTTGGATACAATCATGCCAAAACTTGAAAAACCATCCTATCAAAGTTCATACAACATTTAACATATTCATGTTCAATTGAAGCACTAGAACTAGTAGCCCGCGCCATTTTTTTTTATTGCCCCATTCATGATCAAAATCACAGCTTGAAATTTGGTATTGTTAACATTATCATAGCAAAAGAATAAAAATAAAAAAGCCAAAAGTCCCAATTTTTATCATTATTTATTTATTTATTTATTGGTTGGATAGTGTAGTCGCACCCCAAACGAATTATCCAAATCGAATATACCAGATATGCTACGGTCCCATTACAGAACTATTCCATCGGGATTTATAACCGTAAAATCATTATGTAATTGTCGAGAATAGTCGATCAAATAATTACAAACTTACAGAATAATCCTATAACGGGACCGTATCATTTCCATCCAATATATATTGGGAAAGACATAAAATAAGGCATATGGTCCAAAAATTTTCCAATTCCATTTTTCGTATTATTCTCCCCTTCACCTCGCTGATACTCTTCATCCCACCACCTCCATATTTGCTGCATCTCAGGCACGATCGACCCTTTTCATACGTATGTTCTTATGTGTTGATGCGTATATTTGTGAATGCATGTGGGCTCGGATATTTCATATTTGGGCCGCGAAGTTGGAATCTATTGGTGGATTTTGTTTATTTTTTTGCTCCAACCAAGGATTTATTTGACAAAATGAGATTGTTTGCTATCTGGGTTTTGTTTGTTTGTTTGTTTTTGGGATGCTAGTTTTCTATGCATAGTGCTAAAGACGAATCTTGATTCTGGGTTCTGCAGTTGTGATAGTTTTTTTACTCTAAAGCTCTGAAATCGATTGATCAATTCTGACCTAAATTGCTTTTGGGCACTCTTGTTTTTAATTTTGCGAGTGTGAATTATCGTTTAGGGTTTGGAATGGACAAACTTTATGTATAGATGGGGCCTATGATTCATTCCCCTCAGATTCTCAAACTGATGTTTGTATCGGTTATCTTGTTGGTGAATATAGTACTTCTTAGTCATGACAGTCGGATAATTGCCGGGGATAAATAATGCAGTACTATGTTCGGAAGGACTCGAGCTGTTTATGAATATGTTTTGTTAAGTTAGTACAGATAATCAGTAGTTTCACCAGGAAAGAGGGTGTTGTGTTGTTAGTGTTGTGAGTCTAGTTGAGCTATCCTGTTGTTTACTCGGTTCCGCATAGCTAAATGTTTTAAATAGTGGGTTCTGTAGTATTAATATTCATGTTTTGTTGGTCATTTACTTCAAATACCGTACTGCATATTGCATAAATTTGACGATGGTGTACTCGACTCACAGTTTTCTGAGCTGCCATTTTTCCCTCTCAACCTGCTAAAACCTATTAACTGGCGGTACCCGTACTTATTTGTAGATAGAGGGAAGCTAGCCACAGTTTTTTCTTAAAATCTCACATCATAAGTGGTTATTTGTAGGTAGAGTGAAGAACAATGGATCGACTTCTCAGTAACGCACGTCTCATGATAGTCTCGGATCTTGATCATACAATGGTGGGTTGGGATAATCTCTTTTCCATTTCCTTTTTCTTTTTTTCGTGCGTCTGATTTTTTACTGAAGATTTCAGAAAATCCTGTAGGTTGATCATCATGACTCAGAGGATATCTCTTTGCTTAGATTCAATGCCTTATGGGAATCTAAATACCGTCATAATTCTCTATTAGTGTTCTCAACGGGGAGGTCCCCTACTCTCTACAAAGAGTTAAGGAAAGAGAAGCCATTGCTAACCCCTGACATCACTATAATGTCTGTTGGAACCGAAATTACATATGGTAACTCAATGGAACCGGACGACGGTTGGGTCGACTTTTTAAATCAGAAATGGGATAGGAACATAGTGTGTGAAGAGACAAAAAATATAACCGAACTTACTCTTCAGGTATCCTTCTAGAAATATTTTCACCATCTCTTCTTGTTTGTATTCTCTTGTTAGGCATCAATTCATTTCGTTAAAGAATGCTTTTTATGTAGTCGCAAACCGAACAGCGGCCACATAAGGTGAGTTTTTACGTGGATAAAGACAAGGCCCACGACATCATGAAAGGTCTCTCTGAACGCTTGCAAGAACGTGGGGTAAAGATTGCTTATTATTGCACTTTTATTTATTTATTTTTTTCTTTTCATCTTTTTTATGATAGTCTCATTACTCTTAGATCTTATATACGAATGTTTTTCAGTTGGATGTGAAAATAATATACAGTGGCGGGATGGATCTGGACATCTTGCCACAAGGTGCAGGCAAAGGGCAAGCACTTGCTTATCTGCATAGAAAGTTCAAGGAAGCTGGTAAATTACCTATTAACACGCTCGTTTGTGGCGACTCGGGAAACGATGCCGAACTATTTAGCATTCCCGACGTATATGGTGTAATGGTTAGTGTCCCAACAATATTATGTTTCTATTTTTTATTTTTTATTTATATTTTTTTTATTTTTTCTCATCTGTTGATGGAATTCACTGATATAACGGCATAGGATTTGACAGGTCAGCAATGCACAGGAAGAATTATTACAGTGGCATGCTGAAAATGCGAAAAATAATCCCAAAGTAATTCACGCGACCGAGAGATGTGCGGCTGGTATTATACAGGCCATCGGTCGATTTAACCTTGGACCGAGCACGTCCCCTAGAGATGTCATGGACTTATCAGATTCGAAGATGGAAAATTTCGACCCGGCTTATGAAGTGGTTAAACTTTATTTGTTTTTCGAGAGGTGGAGACGAGCTGAGGTTGAAAATTCCGAGGTTTATCTGGCCAATCTGAAATCCGTCTGCGTAAGTGGAGATTATGAACTGAATATTATCTTATATGCTTAATTATGAACGATTTTGGGCTCTTAAAACATCGGTGAGCTGACTTGGATTTATCATTGGCTGACACTGTGTCAACTTTTGGTGGCATTTTAAACTTTAGAGTAATATTTTTTCACACTTTCTAATTACTCCACTTGCAGTCTCAATCTGGCACGTTTGTTCACCCGTATGGAACTGAGAAATCGCTTCACGAAGCAGTAAACTCGCTTAGAACATGCTATGAGGACAAACGAGAGAAGCAGTTTCGGGTTTGGGTGGATCAGGTTTTGCCCGCCAAGATTGGTTCAGATTCTTGGCTCGTGAGGTTCAAGAAGTGGGAGCAATCTGGTGAGTCTTTATGACCTTTTTTTTTTTTTGGTTTTCTTTCATTGAAATTAATAGTCGCACCATTTTGGTCTTTTGCTCTCGACAGGCGATGAGCGGCAATGTTGTCTGGCTACTGTCTTATTAAGTTCAAAGGTACAATTAGGCAAATATACCTTTTTCAACATACATGCATACTTTTATAATGAAATGTCATATTCTAAAAAAAACAACATAAACATGCATTTTTGTAATTACAAAAGTATGACTAGTCGACTTGCCCAACGGTTAGACAAACATTACTTTGTGTTACAAACATCATAATTATGCATTTTTTGTTACAAAAGTATAATTGATCGACCCAACTAACGGTTAGACTCACACGAGAGTTTGTGTTTCTTTTTTCCGTTTGACTACATGTTTTTGATGATATTTTGGAATTTTGTGTGGCAAAGGGTGTAAGTGTTGCAGAAGGGTTGACTTGGGTCCATGTACATCAGACATGGTTGGATGGGGCTGCACCAAACACCACCCACACAACAACATGGCTGTTTTAGATTTTTGATTTGCCACTTTATATTCTTTCCTAACAGAATAAATTTCTGCCACTTTGTATGAAGCTGTGGTTCTTGTTTTTTCCCAGGATCTCAATTGTTGTATCAAAAAAAAAATAAATAAAAAATGTGTCTTTAGAACAACATGAAATATGGATTTTCAGCTTAGGGTATGTTTGGTAAGCCAAATAAGCTAGCTTTTAGCTTATTTGGTTAGCTTATAAGTTCCCTGTTTAAAATAAGTCTCGTTTGGTAGGACGAGCTTTTTTAAAAAGCTTGAGCCTTATTTCATAAGCTACTTTAGGTAGTTTTTCAAATAAGCTAGTTGAATTTTTTTATTTCAGCTAGCTTATCAACTAATTTACCAAACACCTTTTATCATATAAGCTAGCTTTTCAGCTATAAGTCATAAGCTATAAGCTATAAGCTCAAAAATTACATATAAGCTATAAGCTAGCTTATCAGCTATCAGCTAGCTTATCAGCTAATTTTACCAAACATAGCCTTAGTTGAATCTCACAATTTACATCTCATGGCATATTTTTCTTTAATTTCTAAAGTTTGTTAGGTTTTATTTTTCTTGTGATTGGATAACGTGTTTTGTTAGGCTGGACATCGTTTTTCTTTTTTTCTTTTTTTTTTTTTTTTT